CACCACCCCCCTGCCAACTCTTGGGCTACTCTTTTACCAATGAATAGTGGGATTGACCGTCACATTATAATGTCCCCATGTCTGAAAAGGTGAGCGTGTTTGGTGTGATGGGGATTCGAACCCGCGACCAACAGATTGCAAGTCAAGCACCCTAACCACCTAGCCATGCCGCACCCTCCTTAAGTACAGAGTAAAAAAAGTTCTACTGAAGCATCAAAAATAAATACACACAAAAAAGTAATTTCTTAATATACAATCATTTCTTAAGTTCCAAAGACAAGTATTATTTCACAACATAGACAAAGTTTTTATGGAAGATCCCCAACAATTTCAATTTTGATATTGATTAAATACCAGATCAACCAACAAAGTATCTTATCCTCCTCAATAATTACTTCTAGATGGTTAGAAACCTATTGTATGTAGTTCAAAGTAGCCTCAGATATCAATTTTGTTTTAGCAAAAACATCAAAGCACACAAGAAAATTTTGAATTGAGCCTCCTAGTACTAGTATTTTGTTTTTATCTCATGTTCCAGCATCTCCCCTTCCAAATATTTCTCGGTATTGCTGAAGTTTAACTAAAAGATGATAAAAACAGCCTTTTAATCACAAATAGCTTATTGAAAAAAAACCACAAATTAAATACACATATTTATATTTATTCATGTATATTTAATGTAGGATTGTTTTAATAAAGATGATAAAAACAGCCTTTTAATCACAAATAGCTTATTGAAAAAAACCCACAAATTAAATACACATATTTATTCATGTATATTTAATGTTTTAATAAACTATTTGTGATTAAAAAGCTGTTTTACTATCTATCTTTGATGATACTTAAAGTTTATTATTATATGATTTAACTGTATAACCCAAATAGTTCTCAGAACTGAAACAAATAAAAATGTTATTCAACTTATCCCAAAGTTGGATAGCAAGGAAGGGTGCTTTTGTAACACAGAATGTTAACCATTTCTCTGTAGAGAAAAGTTCAGTATGAGCACAACAGTGCTTTCATATGTAATCACAACAATGAGCAAAGTGTACACCCGTGTATAAGAATAGTTTATAATTGATTACATCTAAAACACCTAAACTAAAGATTATTTAACACAATCTATATTCAAACTATAGATTATTTTATACAATCTATATTCCAAATAAGTCATCTCCTTAAAAAAAAAGTGTTTATATTATATTTTTCAAACTGTCAGTGACATACATGCAATTTCTTGATTATTTTCATGAAATTAATTGATTTAATCACTGCTCATAGATAATCAAATAAACTGTCCAGCTCCATCCATGTAACTACATATTTTACTGAATACAATAGATTTATACAGAACACAATAAACCAGAAGATAACAGAAGAAATAACTGCCTAAACAACCAACACACAATACAAATATCTTGTAATCCTTTAAAACTTTTACTATGTGTAGATCAAAATACACATCGTGAACTTTTACAGTTACATTTAAAATTGAATTAAACTACTTTATTATCAATGTATACAAGTAAACGTGGCATCAAAATGTAGTCAATAAATCAAATTTTAATATAAGTTTTAATTTCTTAATCTTAAAAGGAAATATTCAAATAAACTCTGAAATTCCTCTTGTATAACTATTGATATTTTTTCACTCTAAGCTGCCCATCTTCTATTTTTACATCACCCCTCAGTAGAGATTTTTAGTTATTTTGCCTACAACTTGAAAGATGCTATTGCTGAGTTCAGATCGAGTAGATAAGGGAGTTATTTAAGTTACTTATGCCTTAGTTAAAAAGCCTATTAAATTATAATAGTTACAGGATATTCTTTGCTTTGTGTGTATTATTTTATTTTCTCCTTAACTCTTTCAGCATGGGCTTGGTCTCTCAGACGGACCTCATAACCATTTTGTGCTTGTTATAGTT